ACACATGATAGATAAAACCAATAATATATTATGATTGTAATTGTTATTTTTTTAATATATAGATATAAGAGATTAAACTTTAAATTTATCATTAAAATTACAAATAATTTTATTATTAAACTATGTGGCTGATGATCATATAACAATTTATTTAAGAAATTGAATTATTGATTACTTTCATATATTACTAATAATTTTAATAATTCAATAATAATTTTTTTTAGTGAAACTAAAACTTTTAAATTCAAATCATTCAATATAAAAGTGGAGTAAATTAGGAGAGAAAAAAGAGTTTTTTTTTTTATTATGTAATCCAATATCATAAACAAAAAATACTTTGATATACTTATAGTGCCACAAACCACTATAAGTTTTTTTTTTGAATAATTTGTAATTATTTATAGGGTTAATTGGGGAAAGGGGGAAATGAATTCTATGGGACTCGAACATGTAATTTATTAGAGGTGAATAGTCCTAATTGAGAATCTAATAGCATTGGACCGGAGCATATCATTCCACGAACCACTATAAGTTTATAATAATAATATAATATTAAATAAATTAATATATAATATTATGAGTCATTATTTTAATAAAAAAAAATTACTTATATTATGATTATAAACTTTCATACTTCGTGTAACGCCAAATTGAAACAACCAAAAAAAAAAACAGGGGAGTATAAAATTCAATTTCTGTTGGTACTGGACAATTTGACATTAATTTTTTGGTAGACCAGAATGAGAGAAAAGGCTATGTTTGATGAAGTTGGTGGGAACTCATTTTAGACTCCAAAAATTTTAGTTGAACTAAATATTATAATTTGTAAAAAAATATTACAATTTTTTATAAATTAGTTTTTTATACATTTTATTGCAAATCTTAGAAGTATTAAATTGGTGTTTTTACAAAAATTTCTCATTTGAGTTTTAATAAAATTAATATATTATATTAATTTTATGCTTATTTTTTTATTTACAAAAATAACACTTTTATAATATTTTTTCTTAATAAAACTTCTATTAAAAACTCTACTTACACCAAAACGCACACAAAATATAGTTCGTAAACTGAATAGATAAGGACCCAAAAGATAATAGACCAAAAATTAAGCCATTATCCGAAAGGATTAGGTGAATTTTTCACATTTGTATAAATAAAATCTGTTCATTTTCTTCCCCAGACCAGACTTCCAGTAGAAGCAGGAAGACAGTCGGGTGAAGTGATGGGGTGGACAACACGATTCCTAACTGCGGTGGCTTTCCTGGCCATCGGAGTGATCTTCTCTCCTGAGATCTTCGGATCCGATGGCTCGGGTTCGCTGAAGCTGTCGACCTACTTGAAGCTTGCTCATCTCCTTAGCTTCTCCACAGCTTGGGGTGCGGCTCTCTGGGTCACATTCATCGGCGGTATCATCATGTACAAGTACGCTCTCTTTTCTCTCCTCCTCGTCATTCCTGATTTTACGTTGAGTAATTTTGCCCAAAAGTTTGAATTTTTAAGATGATAATCATGGAGCTTAATTATTTAGTCATCCTAGCTTCGATGTTCAATAGGATGTTCATTTGCCCATTTTAAGTAGAGGGTTATTGTTAATTAAGGGAAAATTGAAATGGGTCTGTGTGAAATTAGGAATTTGCCAAGGCATCAATTTGGAAATCTGCAAAGCAAAATGTTTCCAGCCTATTTCTCCATGGTGGGGATATGTTGTGCCATTTCTATGGTGTCATTTGGATATCTGCATCCATGGAAGTCTTCATCTACAGCAGAGAAGTACCAGCTTGGCTTCCTAGCTTCGGCACTTGCGTTTAACCTCACCAATTTGTTTGTTTTTACACCCATGACAATCGAGGTAACTTTCTCATACTCCCTCCCATAACTGCTATTCAAGCCATTTACCTTATGTATGTGATTGACATTTGTGATGATGTTCTTGAATTTTCTGCATCGTTCTGTTGTTTTATGATTTAATGAATTTTTATATTGTCTTGTTATTCCATAAAATGTGTGACACCTCAGATATGTTCATATGCTTCACTAGTTAGTTTAACCCAGTGGAGGAAATTTGAAAGAAACAAAACTGAATATTGAAGATGCACGGTTTATGTTGCTAGAGTTTCATGACTGCTAATTGTATGGATGGTTTTATGAAATTTCTTTTGAAATGATTATACATATAGGTTGTGTAAGATTCAGTTCAATAGTATGTGTGATTTTAATTTCTAAGGTTCCATATGATGTCGTGCATTGATATAAGCTGTTTGTAGCTGTCATACTCTACTTCTTTCCATTGGTGATTGTACTAATGAAACCTATTAAGACGTTAATTTTATGTCAATTCGGTTTGAACTCAGATATTTTTATTTTTCCTTCTTAAAAATTGTTAGAAAACTAGTGCAATCTTCTCCATTCCCTTGCGCTCAGCAGTCAACAGAGGGTTTTTGAGTAATCTTAGTTTCATATTTAGTTTCACAGTCCAGTATTGTATGTTCTTTTGTTTTTCTTACTCTCATTCGTGGTGTAGATGATGAAGCAAAGGCACAAGGTGGAAAAAGAAGAGAACATTGGGGAGGAAATTGGGCGGTCAAAGAACACGGAAGTTGCAAAGGTGAATCCAAAGCTTGCCGCCATGAACAAGAAATTTGGAATGATCCATGGGTTATCCTCCCTTGCTAATATTATGGCCTTTGGCAGTCTTGCCATGCACTCATGGTATCTAGCAGGTAATCTCAATCTGTAATTTTCGTATTTCTGTTTTTAGGGGAAGTTTGGCTTCTGCTATCAGGGATATATATTCTTCAGATTAGACCTTTCAAATTATCTAAAAAATGTAAAATCAAACATATGTTAATCAAATGATTTGTCTCTTGAGTTTATTTCTAAAATAAATCATAAAAACATCTTTTCACTACTAAGTGATGCAAAGTTATTGGATAATTTATTTTCTACATAATGTTGTGTTTTTCTAATCTATGCCCTTAAGAGTATCATTTTTTTATCATAAATTTGTATTGGAAGAACAAAAGTTGATATTCAGTTTATGAACCGTCTAATTAAATTCATCTATGTAGCAACAACACTAAAATTAATGTCAAGTTTTACATTTTTTTTATATAAATTAGTGATAAAAAAGTACTCTTAACCTTATAGCACAATTGAGAAAAACCTTACAATGTTTTATAGCATCTAAAGTACCACAACGGTCGCTTTGATAATGATAGCAACTTTATAGAGCAATGGAAATAATAAGCTTTGATGTACCTATGTAATTCTATTGGACTGTCCAAACACAGTCCGGCCATGCTTTTTCTGCATAATGCATGCTTTATTCTTATGAAAAATAGCCACCATAGAATTCGGTCCACTGTTAGATATCAGTTTGTTGTAATGCTGCAATATCGACTTGTTGGGCAAATTCGAAGACATTTGAACTTAAAACTGTTATTCAGCATATCTGCTATCCTATATGCACATGGTGTTATATAAGACTAGGTTCAAGGGTTCAAGTCAAGTGATTGAAGACTTAGGGCGGAGTCCCACAACTTAGATTGTGGATTTGACTCCCATATATGCGAGATTTTTTCCAGTTTTTGAAGGTTTACTTGCATGGTACTTGTATGGTTATATTCTATAACGTGTACATTATGCTTGAAATTGTTTTTACCCTACAATCGACACACTCAAGTGATTGTTATTGCTTAAGTTAGACGTGGAGAAACTTAACGCAACACGGTAATCGTTTTCATTTCCCTATCCAACTTTTTAGCTCCCCATCCACTCTTAAAATCGTTTTCATTTTCCTCTCGTTCAGGAAATCAGAGGTATTCTTAGTATTTACGCATCTTAATTGACCCAAACACGTTCCTTCTCAATGTTCATTTTCTCTTCCTTGTTTCTTGTAAATCTGTAAATCATGCTAGGTAAACTTGATGTCATACTTTCGTTTCTTTGTCAAATTTCTCTCTTTTGCCAACCACATTACTCAGCGCATCATGTTACATCTCTTATTTGGTTTAAAAGAGAATAGACATATACCGGCTCATGCAAAGTAATGGATTTCTAATGTTCATATGTGGCTTGTCGATTTCCTCCAAGTCATTGCATCCATGTGCTCAGCCGGGAAAGGAGTTAGAGATTTCATTTTCCCAGCCGAAGGAGAATAGACATATACCAGTTCTGCAAGTTTGTATTATTACTTCCAATAAGATCAAACGTATGAAGTTGACTTGTTCTCCTCTATGGGTGATTAAATTATTGCTTTTTTAATTAGTCAAGGTGCTTTCGTATTAATTTGTACATATCTTGAGATTAATTCTTATATGATTCAATCAAAAATAGATTATTCATATTGAAATTAAAGAATTTACAAGAAATTACCATCTCATAAACCTTCTTAAGAATAGAATTTAATCAACAAAATAAAAAATAAATTCTTATACCAACTAAGTTACAATTGAGTGGTTAAATTATTTCTTTTTACTTAAACTGTAGGTTGACGTGGGGTTTAGTTGGTTTAGACCTATGTGTGTCACTAGTCCCAATAGGTACTTGGAGTTACAGACCGCCTCATCTACTGGAGACTGTTGGCAATGAAACTCAAATTCAAGAATAGTTAGTCGAAAAGTTGAAAGTCAAACCTTACCAACAAAACTAACGACTAATTAATTGGTGTAAGACGCCAGAAAATCATGTTCAAAATGGTTGTTGCATCTACGCAAGATCTTACTGTCAATTTTCTAAACAGACAAACTGTCTTTGACAAACACAGAAGGAAGAAACAGAGAACTTTGCTTGACTGAAGGAAATAAATAAAACATGACATGTATTACTATTCGTAAATCAAAACTGTAATGTGTTTGTATACTCCTTTTGTATTCAATGAAGGGAAACAGGGGGAGAGTGTAATTCTTTTTTCTTTTTTCTTTCAATTTTCATGTTCTAAAATGAATGAATAAAGAATCATAATCTAATCATATCTATGCCATCCAATGAAACATTGTGATGCCGACACAAATACGTGCTGGTCAGCGACTGAGTGGAAAACTCATCACGGTATATGCCCCCACGAGTAACAACTTTACAGAGAACAACAGAAAAACAAGCAAATGCATGTGGTGTGATGCCACAAACCTACTGAATCTCTGGATAGTTTCTCTCCCGTTATGTAGGATGCCAGAGAAGTTGATTTGTTCTAGGCCCCAGTTGATTAATGCAGCTGATCTCCCCACAATGATGCCTGCATTAGTGTTGTGTGGCAAGATAACTGACCACCAAACCTTGTGGCGCTCCCTTTCAGCCTTCCTCATGCGACTTAGCTCCTGATGGAACACACTCCGAACACCCTTCAAGTAGGATTTCATGTCATGATCTCTTTGGATTCTTCCTTCGGAGCCATAAGCAGAACGGTCACTTAGTATCTCAAGTGGGTGTGGTGAGTTCAAGAATACAGTCTGTGCAGCTCGAAGCAGCTTCTCTGCATCACCAGCATCTGACAGTGCACAGCTTAAAAAATATAGGCCATTGCCTGAAGGAAGGAGATCATGCTGAGGAGAAATTTTCTCATCCGGTTGTAGAATCAGAAGCTCCCCCATTGGGGCATATAGTAGCTTCTGTAGCAAGAAATATATATGGGAGTTAGATCAGAGTCCCGGTCTGCATATGATAAATACATACATATGACCAAAGTTCAAATACATTACTTGGTTATTGAGACAAGGATGATTCCTGAAGTTTCTGTTAACAGCCTTCAAAAGCTTTGCAGCATGATTAGGATAATTACAAGAGAAGGCCCGAGGAACAATGTCGCCGTGCATTGTGATCGCTTGAACATGACTTCGTGGCAGCCCAATTTTCTGAAGAAGATGATCACCTCCACACATGATAGATGGTGATCCAAATGTTATAACAGGTAGTAAAGCATGGGCAGGCACTTCACCCCGTATCAGCAACATGAGATTAATAAGAAGTGACAAGCTACCCCCAAGAGAATGTCCAGTGAAGCGAAAAGTTGCATGATTGCCATGAGATTTCAAGTGTTCACGGACTTCAGGCAACATTTGCTCATAAATCCCTTTAGCAGCCTCATATATACCTCTATGCACAAGCACATCAAGTCCCTGAACCAAGAAAAGTTGTATAACAATCAATCATATGATGCATTTTCTTTAAGCATCTCAAACATAGCAAATAAACACTTAATTGTAGAAACATCTAAAAGAGTGGCTTGATATGGTTATTGAGAAAATACCTCAAACTGAACAGGCTCAAAAAGTAGATTTGCTTGCCAAGATGCTAATGACTCAGATCCCTATATACAAACACCATTTTCCAAATAAAACAGATTACACTAAGTATACCAAAATTAAGCAATGAAATTATGATGACCATTTCATGTCAATGGCATGACAACTTTTTTAAAATGTAGGATAATGGTCCAAAAATGCAGTAATATAGAATCTTATACATATCATATATAATATTCTCCTTAGCAACATATGGAAATGCGCTGGATCCAAAGTGTTAAATAAATGGTTTTGCCTACCTGAATCACAAAGTATCTTGTAGCACTCTGATCATCATCACATATAAACCACTCGCATGGTGATGAATGTGTGGAATTCAAATTATCTGCAACAGCCTGCTTCACTTCTTCTTTTGCAGCAACCACAGCAGTCACAGAATCTGTTGTTGCTATCAAAGAAGCCACATCTACGTTCATCAAATCAGCACCACCATCATTTCCACAGCTACCTTCAGATGAATTTTTACTGCCTTTGGCTGCCAAAGATTTGAATGGAAGAATGTTCTTTGTATGAGAATGTAAATAGGAAGCAGCAGAGGCCACCATTCCATATGCAGCAGATGCACTTATCCTTGGACCAATACTTTTCTCCTCCTTGTACTCTGCCTCATCCTTACCATTTCTTTCTGCTTCCTGATTTTCAACTGACGCCTGACTTTTCTCAGCTTCCATAGCCAATTCTCTCTTTTTAATGGAAGATGTTACAAAACGGAGACCGCGATATTTCAAAAGATTTCCAGGCTGAATTTTGTGCCCCAAAACCAAACCAAACAAAGAATGTCAAAAAATTCAGACATGTATTGTTGCAATTCCAGTAAGACACCAGAAAAAAGACTTTACTTAAATGTCACAGATGTTAGAAAACCCACCCAATTAAAAAATTTTCAAGAAATGTATGAATCTAACATATGTTTCTTCACTATCAGATCATCATTCATCAGAAACCATGAGAAAAGTAAATCCTACTCCAGAAAAAGGAAACCAAAGATGCCTGATTCATTACCTTAATCTTTGGGATGGAATAAGCCAAGTTCCCCAAATATGACATTTGAGCGTATAGCTTAGCCTCAGCAAGAGACACCCGCCTTAGCATCCTGGAGAAAGAATCTCTATCAAATTCAATCCTCACTTCATCATCATCACTGCTATCAACTCTACAACCATCGCATGAATCTTGGTCATCCTCGTCATCTTTTCCAGTTACAGGAATATTGTCATTTCCGTCATCGTTCTCTGATTCTCCACCAGCGCTCCTCCCCTGCCTTTCTCTCCACAGGGACTTGACACGCAAAATCTTCAACACCCAGTTCTCATTTTGCCCCTCTTGCGACGCTATTTCCCCAATATTCTCCATTTCCTCGACTGCCTTCCTTTCCACCTTGTTCTCCACCACAACGGCGTCCTCAATGGCAATCCCGTTGTACCTTTCCTCATCCCCACCACCACCACTCCGCCCCCCTGGCCACAGAGATTTCAAAGGGTACCGAAACGAGAACCTTGACGACGACACCTTCTGGGGCGGTGGCGCCACCGCCGATTTGTCCACCGACCGCCCCACCGCGCAGACCTGCGACGTACTTGCACGGACCCCCAATGCCCCACCCACCGAGATCTTCGGAGCCATCCCATGAATCCCAGTTTTCAAACACAACCCATCCATTCTCCCCCTTCGTTTCTTTGCAATATATATCTACCCCTTCTGCTCCCTTCCTCTTCCTCTCCCTCTCCGCATATAACAGTGAATCAGAAAGAAAAGTTAGCTTCCCACGTCAGAAGCAAGGCGTTAAGGCAAACCCACAATCTTTAAATTTCTTCTGCTATTTCTTCTCCTACTACTGCTTCGTTCACTTCTTCGTGCTGGATCAAAACTCTTTCATGGAGGACGAAACAGAGAGGGAGAATTTAAAGAGGAACAAGAAAAGGTTGGGCTTCCGTTTGTAACCAAACAAGTCACCAACCTAGCTCCTCCACCTTTGCACGACTATTTCCTTTTCTCCCCAAATTTTTGCCAAAATGAAATTTGAACTTTCCAGAATAAATTAGTCTCTTTCTTCAGGGACGGGAATTACTAATGCCATGCCGTTTGAGTAATATCCGTTGGGATTTTCTGTCGGTTACGACGTCGTTTGTTCCTACGGTAGGGGCACGTGAAGGTGAATTTCAGATAAATTTTATAATTATAATATTATATAATATATTATAAAAATAATATTTAATAATCTTATTTTTTTAAGATTAATAAAAATATTATTTTAAAATTACGTTATTTTAATAAATATCTATTAAAAAAATTAAAATATTATATTTTTAAAAAATAAATTATGATATTTTTTGTCATTTCATGTAATATTTTATTCAAATAACGTAATTTTAAAATAATTTTTCTTTTAATTTTTAA